AGATGTCATGACTAAAGCTAGTGTGTGACTTCAGAAAAGAAAACTGATTAGCAGATCCATTCATTATAAGTCAAGTATTTGTTGAATCTCTAACATATTCTGAACAGTGTGGTAAAGACAAAGATAGAAGACTCCTCTAGGAGTACGTGGTCTGATGGAAGAGGCTAGAAATCCCTTTGCATATGATTCAAACAACATATAATTATTTGGTAAGGTAAGGGAAGGAGTTTCAGATCTAGGTTTAAATCCTGATTATAGCTTACAAGTTGTAAGACCTAGATCAGGTTATTTAACCTTTTTTGGGCTTCAGTTTTCTCAATTACAAATTTAAGAAAAATAATAATTACCTACTATAGTCTTATTGCAAGAGTTGAATAAATATTAAAGGAGAATTATTTATATAAATTATTCAGCATTTTGTGTGGCATAATAGAGTTATTCAATAAATGGCAAGTTTGTGTGTGGGTACTTTAAGAATTTTCATAAAAGGAAATACTGTGAAGGAAGGCTGAAATGACCAAAGAACACTTCATGGAAGACTTAGATGAAGTTGTTTTTGATCAGAAATGCTTAGAAAAGAGGTAAGTACATTTCAAGCAAGGAAAACAGTGACTTCCTCTATGGCGCTGTCCTGCTCTTACTCTCATCCCCTGCCCCTAGATGAATTGGCCACTCCCATCTTTGTGCCTTTATTGAACCCCATATCACACTTTGTTGCACATCCCCTGCCCCTAGATGAATTGGCCACTCCCATCTTTGTGCCTTTATTGAACCCCATATCCACCCATAACACTTTGTTGCATTTTTTTTTTTGTATACATGTTGGTTCTGTTTGCTAGATTGCAATCCCCTTCAAAGCAGGAACATGGCCTTCATCTTGGTATCTCCAGTGCCTGGATTATAGGATGGAGTCTGGAGGCTGGGATACATGGAATAAATATTTAAGGAAGGAAGACTGGAAAATAATAGTAAACAACATTTATTGCCTGATATTATATCAAGTTTACTCACGAAAAAACAAACAAACAAGACAAACCTCACTCAAAGTATTTTAACAGAGAGAATTTTAATATAGGGAATTTGCTAAACAGGTATTGGAGAACTGAAACAGTAAAAAGGAAAACGGAGGTAACACAAGAAGCAGCTGCCAGCTCAAGAGCTGGAGAACAGAGAGAAGTTGGGGTTCTTTGAAACTAGAAGCTTGGAAGACTGGGCCTGAAGAGCTGGGCTCAGACCTCTGGAAACTGCCAGCTAGTGCTCTTATTTCAAAAGCTCAGAGGAGAAGCTCTGTGGAACCAGGGGTTGGATTTCTGCAGAGAAGCCTCACTATGTGGATAGTGGTATTTCTAGAAGGTGCAATAAGGCCATCTTGTTTTATTTTGTTTTGAGTGCCTAAAGATGGAGACTAGAACCTAACTGCTGCTGCCAGATAAAGGACTGCTGCTGGGGTGACACCACCCTTCTGTCTTCCTTAGGACTTAGAGTCTCCTTCTAGTGCCTCTATTGGTGAAACCTTGCAGAAAATCAGCTAAAGAAACAATGTAGAGTCCTCACACAATGTAGAGTCAGCACACATTGTTCTAAGTGCTGTAAATGTTTCAATTAATTTAGTCTTCAGTACAGTTTTATGAGGTACATACTGTTTTTAATCTAATTTAACAGTTGGCCACATAACTAATAAGTAATAGAGGTATGATTTAAAGCAAAACAGTCCTTCAGAGACTACTCTCTTGACCACTGTATAGGAGGCATTGTTATGATTAGAGACTAAGCTATACATTGCCCCCAGATTAGTAGCAAATAAAATTTGGTGAGAATGACTGTATCAGGTTATTGAAGGTTTTGAGAGCCACTCTGAAGAGTTTAGCATTGATTTAGTAAGAACAAAAATTTTGAGTCATGCTACTGTTTGAACAATTTAATTTAACCAATATTTATAAAGGGCCAGAAAGTTGGTCTGACAGAGGTATAGCTTGGGTGGAGGGAGGGGCACAAAATATTTAACTCAAGGTCAGCTGAGAAACTGTGGCTGTGATTAGGGACTAAATTAGTCTAGAACCAGTAAGGATGGAAAGAAAGAACTGGATGCCAGGAATAATTTGAAGGAAAAATCACATACCTTCGTTTTCCATTCTGTTACTAAGGCTAAACAATGATTGACTTTAAGAGTAGTTTGTTTTACCTTGATCAGGGTTATTGAAGCTCATCAGAATACTGAAAATGAATTTGAGTTGCCAAACATTGTGCATTTCAAATCAAGGTTAATGATCCAGCTGATATTGTTCCTGTACTGACATTGCTAGTCAATATTTAAAGTCTGACTTAAAAAGAAAAGATAATTTGTCCTCACCTTAGAAACATAAATAAGTAGGGTGACTATGGTTAACACTTCTGTTTTGTATATTACATAATATCTAGAGGAGAGGCTTTTGAATATTTTCACCACAAGGAAATGATAAATGCATGAGGTGATGGATACATTAAAGACACTTACCTAATTATTTTGTAACATATATGTATCAGAATATCATATTATACCCCATAATCATATACAATTACAATGTGTAAGTTAAAATAAAAAAGAAGCATAAATTGGTTTTTTTTGTACTCATTGTATATACTCATTTTCATCTTACACTATAATCACCCCAGAGAAATCTGAGTTACTATATACAACCAAATAAACAATTTAGAGGGATAGTAGAGAATGTATTTTCAAGTGGCATATACTTTCTTCTGGGTAAACAGAGCCACATATAATCTTATTCCTCTTTGACAAATTGTCTACAGAGGAGGTAAGTGCTTTGGTGTAGTGGAAAGAGAGGGACTTTGGGTTCAGGCAGTTTCAGCTTTAATTCCTTCTCTTAGTATTTTTGTTAGAAATAAATAAGATACTATACATAAAGCACATATTAGAGCACCTAGTCGATATTCATCAAATATTAGCTATTCCTAATAAAAGCAGTGGAAATAATAAGGTTGAATGAGGTTGGTTAGTGGAATGGAGTACTTGTTACTTACAATGCTTCTGGATGATCTAGAACCAGAGAATGTTAAAACGAAAAGTGACTTTAGAGATAATCTTGTCAACGAACCTATTCTTACTGATTTAAGGCTTGAGACCTAGAGAACTTAAGTGATTTGCTCACAGAGTCTGCCAGAGGCGGAGCCAAGAACTAAACACACATCTCCTGGATTCCAGTTAGAGCTTTTTAACTACCCAAGGGCCCTTTATGCTAAAGGTCCATAGTGATAGTAATCATACATTTAAGTTTATTTTCACTATTAAAAATAAAGTTTAAATATTTATTTCTTACAAGCATGTATAAATACATAAAACTTCTTTGCTTTTGACTGGAAAAGAGGTAACTTGGCATGGTAACAATGATTATCTTATATTAATCCTAAAATTTTCACTGATATTTATACATGTATTTATGAACAGAATGAGGGAATTAACACATTTTTGTTAAAGAAAGTCATTTGGGGAACACATGTTTCAAAAAATAAAAAGATGCCTTTTGTTGAGAAAGCTGCGAACCATTGTAGGCAGTAATAGTGTCTCTCGCGTGTGACAGGTCAATGCTGTGGACACAGTAGTTTCTACGTTTTTGGGTCATTTGACCCTCACAATAGTCTTGAGATATAAGCAGAGCAGAGAGTAATAACGAGGAAACTGAAACTGTAGGAAACCATTGTAATAATGAGGAAATTGAGACTGAGAGGAAGCAGTTGGCCCAAAGTCCCAAGGCAAGTCCAAGCAAATACACCACTAGACTGTCCTCTGGGAACTTTCCGTGAAGACCTTCCTGCACTTGGATTTTTTCCAGGACAGCTAAGAAGATGAATTAGTGTTTATCATAAAAGTTTTATTCTAAGAGGAACTGTGCTTTTGCTCTCAGAGTTATGTGACTATTTCTCATATATAGGGAGCATTGCACTGTGGTCTGATATTTCAAGTATGTTTCAATGACATGATATTATGTGTCACTTGGATGAGTAGACATCTAAGCATAATTATAACTAATGTAAGCCAATGTAAGCTTCATTTGAGGGAGGAAGGAATGCTCAGTAAATGCTAACGTTCATTCAAAGCTGATTTTTTCCAGAAGACAGCATTTATCAGTAAATGGATGTATATACTTTCCAAAATTGCCTTGCATTTTGAGCTTGGAACTTTATTGATGACTATGACGAGTAGACATCTAAGCATAATTATAACTAATGTAAGCCAATGTAAGCTTCATTTGAGGGAGGGAGGAATGCTCAGTAAATGCTAACGTTTATTAAAAGCTGATTTTTTCCAGAAGACAGCATTTATCAGTAAATGGATGTATATACTTTCCAAAATTGCCTTGCATTTTGAGCTTGGAATTTTATTGATGACTATAACTAAGTGAGTCAAAATTATTTCTGCACACCAGCACAATGATCAATTTGTTTAGCCAATTAAAGAAGAAAGAAAAATCAATGTCAGAATCTATGAAAACTAAAATTAAATCAAATATTTTTAAAACATTATATTAATCTCTAGACTTTAGCATAGTGCTTGGCACAGTTAGATGTCTTAAAAAATATCTATTGAATAAAAAGATCCTACAAAGTGACCTACTGAAATTTTCACTTTTTAACTTATCACAAAGAACTATTATCTAATTTTTAAATAAATTTTACCATAAGAGCTCTCATTCTGCTGGGTAAGTCGTGGGAAATATGACAGCTGTTCAGGTTTAGGTAGGCATTCTGCTTTCCCTAAGAGGAAACATGAAAATAAATAACCACATGGCCATATTTGCTAAGTCAGAGTGGAGTTTATTAATGAATAATCAAAATGGTTATATCTCAAAGAGTAGTGAAATAGTCTAAAAGATAGAAAGGAGGTCTCCAACTGTACTCAAAAGGAGCAAAGAAATAAGAAGTTGAGAAAGTTCATGAAAACATGGCCCAGTGAATTGGGATTGATTTAGCCTCGATGTAGGCAGTAGTGAGTGTTGAAGGCCAGATGTTGCAGAGGACATTGGCCAGCTCCATCACTGAACCTTTGCAAAGACTTGACTGGTTAACAGGGCTCACAGGGACTTTCACAGCCAGATTGGACATAGGTCATCAGGTTGATCCCGCTCAGTCCAGGAGTTGGGTAGCAAGAGTTGAGCAGCCAGCAAGTTGGCACATAGGTATCAGGCTCACAGCAGGGTGGGGGGCAGGTGTCGCAGCAGGTAGGCTGAAGGAGGCTGATCTCATGTGGGCAGGTGCTGGGCAGGCAGACTCCACATCGGCAGCATTTGTCAGAGGAGCAGATGGTGGTGGCAGGGCCGGTGGGGACACTGCAGCAGCGGGGAACACAACAAGCCATGGTGTGGTGAGTTGGGTTTTTTGTTGGGTTGAGAGGAAAAGTCTGTTGGTGTCTCAGTGCTTCTCTCCTCTGCCCTGGCTCTTATATACCCACCTCCCTGAGCGTCAGCCTATTACCAAAAGTTTTTTCCCCATGTTTCAGTTTATAGCTATCTCCATAAACCCATCTAATTACTTAAGTGTTTATTACTTAAGACACACTGCTCACCTCATAAAAGAAATTTAGATTGTTTTGTTGTCAAACTAGGACTCTTCACATTGGCCGTGTGTCATTGCATGGAAAGCTTCATTTCAGTCTTCAAAGGCATCGAGTCATTATCTTCTAATCATTACACATCATTAATGGCTTGGTATGCCAGGTATCTGCAAATCTTCCCCATGTTTTTGGTCTACTTTTCAGATGAAGAGATATGTAGGCATTTTGATTGCTATTCTACCAGAAACCAAACATTCTATGTGATAATTTAGACCCTTTGGTTGAAAAAGTGATAAAATGTTTAGACTTACTCTTTGTGGCTCCAAGAAGTTGAATTAAGATGAATGGATGGAATCTATAAAGAAACAGATTTTGATTCTGTGTAAAGAAGCACTTTCTAAAATAGCTGCAACAAATAATTTGCTTTCCATACCTTTCATAAATTCTTTGAACAATAACTTGGCAGGGACATGCAGATGAGAGTCAAGACCTGTGTGGGTAATGGT